AACTTTCCTGGTGATTTCTTTAGAAGATGGGAATAAAAAGGGCCAGGAGGATATAAAAATATTGAAGAACACTGTAGGAAAAGATAATAACCCAAAATTTAAAGGGTGAACCTGGGTGAATAACAGGGTCTCTCATCAAACACAGAGGTTGAACAAAATAGGACAAGATGGTGCTGAGGTTTTCAAGGTGAAGAGTTAGGTTTATCTGAGGTGAAGGCTCTTTCTGAGTCCTGCCTTATGAGGTTAAATTGTCCTCATTTTTTTGTTTTGTTTTGTTGGATTTTTGTTCCCTTTGAACCAGAAGGAAACCACCGGAATTCAATATCTTAAATCTAAACACCACAATCATGGCAGGGAAACTGAGTCGCATACAGAGGAAAACTGAAGAAACCACTTCAGTTGGTGTCCAAACAAAGAAGCCACTGCTATGATTGAAGCCACTACTACAATTTTGTCAATCGTTTAGATGGAAATCACAAAGTGGATGGTAGTCCAGCTGGTGACATCTAAGTTAGTGTTCCATTTAGTGTATAATTAATATCATTGATCTAACATTCCTGAGAACACCACAAGCTCTCTGAGTCACTAAAGCAGCTCTCACTGCTTACTGCATCTGTAGCCATCACACGCACTCAGCACAACTGTAAACCCATAAGCCTCCTGGCTTCCACTGCGGGGATCATAAACTGCAAAGCACTTCAGAGCTTTTGACAAAACAGATTATCATTTCTAAGCTCCGTAAGTAGAAACAGGTAAACTCTCTCAGTTCTCAGGGTCAAACAGCTTCCAGCAGCGAGATTTACACAGACCATTACCAACGAGATGGACAGATGCAAATTACTTCCTCGTGACCCATCACATAACCTTCGCTAGGTCATCGCTATAGTATTTACAAATCATCATGTCAGTGAACTATAGCTTCATGCCACTTTCTCTAAGATTGCGTGTCTCCTGGAGGGATGGGTCTTTGATTTTCAAGCTCCAGAGGCAGCCCTCATATTCCAGCACAGCAACCTGTAGGGATTTATGGGCACTTCACAGGTGTTTAATGAGGCTTACACTGTAAGTGATCTAAACAGCTCTTGTCCCCGGAATCCTGAAGCACATCCAGTAAAGCCGATGGAGCTTGAGACACCTTGAGAGAAATACCAACTGAATCAAAACAATCAGCCTGCCTTTTCCCTCTGTCTCAGCTTTGCTAGTGAATACAAGGCACACGTATACACAGAATAAACAGTCCCTGGTTTCTTTCCGTTTCCACGGTCACACGCTGCATTCAGGCTGGGAACTCAAGGTTCACTGATATTTATCTGCAAGTTTTGAAACACACAGATCAACTTTATTCTCTTTCAATTTTTTACCTAAAAATCTGATTTTCCAGAAAATAAAAAACAGAGTGCACAAAACCGACATTTTATGATGGTATTTAACACTATTGGAAGGTATTTAAGTGTCTGAATGTCTTTGAGCACCTGGACCCCCCCAAAAAGGGTTGATGCTTGCAAAGGTAGCTTTTACGGTATTGTAATTTAACAAATAGAATTTCCAAGTCAGATAAATTAGAGTTATACATACATGCAGCCTGGAATCTGATGTATTTGCCATCTGGCACCTAAGAGACTTCATATTCTCAAAAATTTTGGACAAGGTTTTCCTAAAATTAATAATTAGAATAGAACACTTATCTAGTTTCTTTAGGAAGTTCTCTGCTTTTACAACAAGATACCCACAAGTTCCTGCAAAAGGAAATGGGATAGGAAGGAAGGAAATTTCCGTGCAATGCTCTCATTTACAATTGAGAGCGGCAGTGGCTTTCTCACTTTCAAGGATCTATGCTGTTACAGGGGCTTATTTGGATATACTCTACATTTAACATAAACCTCCATGAGGTAAGATTGATTTCATTTTCACAAACTGCAAGTTTCTACAAACTTTTACAATGTAAGCCTGAATATTTTGGCATCTAATTCTCTCTCCACAGCAGGAGTGGTTCTGCTGTTTAGCAGATCTTTTTCAAGCTGAAATCTACAAATGCAGTTGATCTACAAAGTCTCTTTTATATCAAACAACTTTTTTGAGCTGTAAATAAGCACTGCTGATGATTACTGTACCCTTCTTATTCTACCATTCTGTGGTTCTGTGTGACACCCTTTGCTGTTGGTGAAGGTGGAATTGTGCTAACATGGGACAACTATCCTGTAAAGAAGCAGGAGGCAGCAGAGTCACTGGAGGAAGCACCGTTTTGTACTTCTGCTTCTTCTTAAACATTACCAGCCAGCCACAGCCAGAGTGAAACCCTTCAGCTAGACCCACTGTGGCTGTTCTTTAGTGCAAGGTACAAAGCTAGATTTGAACCATCATTCCTGAAAGCATTTAACTTCCTCATGTTCTTACTTATCTGGGTTTTAATTCTTCAGATGAATCCAGAAAAGAAAAAAAACAGGTTTCTCCATTTTATGTGTTTCACTAAAGAAAATAACTGCTATGATATTGAGGGCTGTGTGGTGCAATGGCACCGGGACCAAGAGCTTTGATTTTCCTGCTCCATGCAGTACAGATTAGGAAGCAAAATCATTCAGACATTTGTCAGTAAATACTGAACGCCGTGCCAGCAAGTACTTATGGCTCTGCTCCCATTACTTGACATGGTAATAAATACTTCACGTTACAGTGACTTCCAGCCTTTTCTACTGTAGGTAGGCAGTAACAATTCAGCACTCTCACTTAAAAGATGAAACCTGGTCTAGTGGAAGGTGTCCCTGCCCACGGCAGAGGAGTTGGAACTAGATGATCTTTAAGGTCCCTTCCAACCCAAACCACTCTATGATTCTATGAAATTAAAGCTGACAGAAATATTACCTCTGTGCCAAAAGTTACACAGAAGCTTACTGACAGCAAACCTTGTTGTTGCTCTTCTCACTTGCCCCGTTGCTAATGGGGTTTTGCCTTCATTTTTGTACTTTGAGTTAAACAGCTGTCAAGTTTAACTTATTTGTAAAAACTAGTGTGGACAAATTAGCTCCTCCTGATGTGATTACCGATCACATGTGAAATACCGATGTGATTATTATGTGATCATCTTTAGATTAATGGGAAATCCAGAGCTACCAGTCAGAGGGGTTAAGTAGTCTGAATGGGAGAGAAATGCAATCCAGCAAAATCACAAAGCAGCCTCTACTTTTGGATCTTGTGATCCACACTTAAGAAAAAAAATAAAAAAAAAAATAGCCTGCCGTAATGGCCAAGGGAGGAGAGAAGCAGTGGTTCTGTGGTATAATGAACTGAGGAACTGCAAACACAGAGGTGCCTGTTCTTGTTGGAGCTGAAATGTGATGGAACACTTTGGGTAGTTTAAAATCATCATCTAAATTTTGAGATTTCCTAAAATACTGCTGTAATACAGATTTTGTTTTTTCCAGTGGAATCTAACAGTACAGATTTAGCTATCAAATATTAAGTTACAATCATGTGTTTGGGGATGCAGAAGAAATCCTCCCCCTCTCCAAAGCTCTTTCTGCTCAACACACCTCAGAGGTATACAAAAAAAGAGGGAATACCCAATTTTAACCTAGGGTGAAAAGTTCTAGGTTGTCAAAAGAAACAGAGATAAGTCTCTGGTACATGTTGACATCAGAGGGGTCACACAGTCCTTCCTCAGACACTGTGCATGGCAGGAGATGGCTTTCCCTAGTGGGAAAGGCTCTGAGAGTTCTGTTCAGCTCAGTCTGGGATCTTCATGGTCCTGCCTTGGTTGAGAAGTCAGAGAATCACTCTATTATACATATTGTATACACAGGCCTGATCTTTTACTTTTTATGTATTACTGTACTGTAGTACTATGTAAGTGGTTATTTACACCACGCTGTTCTGTCAGAACAAACTTTCCCATCTACGTTCCAAACAAAAAGATCAGCACACCAGCATCACTTCAAATCAGCATTTCTTCGAAAAGGCCTTCTTAGGGGAAAGAGCTGTGTAAATATCTGGTTCTCCACTTCCCCATTTTCACCAGTATGCAGAAAAAGTCCTGTGTCTGCCTGCCACCACCTATTGTAACTCTACCTTGCAATTACGGGTAGCTTCATTCTTCTCTTGGTTCCCCAAACTGAAGCATGCTAAAGCCCTTTGGATTTTGAAGTCATCAGAACTACCTCAAACTGATCTCTCTTCACATTAGGATGCAAATTTAGGCACTATACTGCATTGTGCAAACCCACATTGTCCACGAAAGAGCAAAATAACTGTTCTGGGAAAAATGAATGCTGTTATCTGCAAAAAGTGTCTGGATTTTGAGGGAAAAAAACGGAGTACAGTGCTAAGTCAGGGAAACAAGATGATGACTGTATCTTCCTAATTCTATGGAGGAACAAACAGTATGGACTTCAGCTGAGACTGAATTTACTCTGTTCGCTTTTCAGGTGTGTGATTTACTAGAAATTTCTTTCTGGTCTGAGTGGGGCTGTAGCAGTCAATGGCGCAAGAAGATGATGACCCATTTGGCCCCAGCGTGCTGGAGACCATGCACTGACTGGTCCTGAGCTACGAATCAGCACCATCTCAACAAGCTCCGAATGACTGGTCATACTTGACTATATGCTCCCATGAATTTTCAGGTATATAGTGAGACGCATCAGCTGGAAGGCCTTTTGCATAGTAGGAGTATCTTTACTTCAGCAACATCCTTATAAAAATGCTTATTTCAGTTTACTTCAGCAACAGACAGATACTGCCACTGCAATACAAATTAATATACGCCAAATAGAAATCCTACAAATAACACCAAGAAAATGAAGAAAGCGCGCAGCTAGAAAACTTGGGAGTCCTGTTTTCCTGTGTACACTTTTTTAGAACATTCACTACAGCAAGGCAGAATTTTGGAGGGTGGCAGAAACATATTTGTGTACTTTTAGATACCGTCAGACAGCAGCAATGCAAAAAATGACAAGCAAACGACAAAGTAGCGCAGAAATAGAGACTGCTGCCACTGCCCCAGGCCTTACCTTTCAGAGTTGCCTTCTTAAGTACCTTCATGGCATAAAGCTGACCCGCATCAGATCCTTTGATCTTCCGCACTAGAAATACCTGTAAAAAGGAGATATCTTGTGTAGATCAGTACTGAACTACCCGCTAAAAGCCTTGTTGCATTTGATAAAGGAATTCTAATGAAAACTATTAGCTGAAAGTATTTTCTATTTCACTTGCAATTGGTTGGACTACCTCTGGAAAGCTTCACTTTTAAGCCTATACTCCCTTCTAAAGAGAACACATTCAACATTATTAATTACCCTTACACATTCAATTAAAGATTCGTGAATAGTCATAATCAGTCTGTGCACATTTTTTCATATTCTGAGCATCTTCACATGAAAAAAAGTTATGTCTCATTTGTGCTTAGGAATGCACAGTGTCTTAAAATTATTGTCATCAATTAAATTAAGGAGAAAAAAGATTGGTTTAATTTACGCTGTAAATCACGAATGGTGGCTAGCCTAAGACGTAACTAAAGCAAAAAGTTCATACAGCTGAAAATCTGGTTGTGCATACTTAACAAAAAGGACTATTTTGATTAACAAACAAGTTAATTGTTAACTATAACAATTTTCCCTGTTACAGTTACCTATGTTACATCTTCCGACAGTGTAAATTCGTCATTGAAATACAGTAAAATTGTAGCTAAAATTGTGGGGTTTTTTTTGTTTTACTCCATGCAGCTCTTTCTTATTTGTCCCTAGAGGGGTAGTGAACAAAGGAATCAGTAAATCAGTTTGGTCTTTATAAGACTATAATTGTTTTAATGATTGAGAATAAAATAAAGACATTTTAGCTGATTCCTAGGACTGACTGTTTGCTGAGGTAAGAAATATGAGCCAACAGCGTCTCTTTCATTTCAGCACTTTTGTCACTGGACAGAAGCAGGAACTAAAGCCAAATAGAGAAGTATACATACATGCTATATATATACTTATAACAATAAGAATTATCAAAGGCTAGCTAAAATTATGTAACTAATAACACTCTAGTTGGATTACAGAAATCTGTGACAATTATTTTATTCTTTGTCTGCCCAGGAACCATGCAGCTTTCTTAACTGCCTCCACCCAAAATATAAAAAGCCAAAAAAAGAACAGAGGAAATGTGTTTCTAGCACATTATTTGCAAGTTGAAAGGCTCTTCCTCCTGCAAAAAAATAGTATCTGCAAACAGATTATGATTTTCTGAAGCACCCTTTGAGCAAAGGTTTGTGGGGAGAGAGAATAACTTTTAACAACCAGCTAGAGAAGCAAAAAAAATTAAAAAAAAAAAAAAGCTAAATTCTCTCCAAACACCAAACACCTAAACCAGGGCTCTTACATCTGTACAATATCATGGCGACAACACTTCTACAATATGATCTGATACATTTTTGCTTAGACTTTCCTTCTCAAGATGTTTCCTGTGCATATGAGATAGACACAGTTCCTTGCCCAGTCTGCCCTAGCTAGCTGAGCTTGGGCACACGCTGCTTGTTCCCATCTCCTGTTTCCTAGTTTGATGAACACACAAATACCTCTGGTACTCGCAACTGAAGGAACAAATGATGAAATTTGGATGTAACGGGACATAAGACTTTCTGAAGTGTTTTTCATTAACATTCAGGATAAATTAAGCTCAGCTGCTCCAGCATTAACAGGAAGCCAATTCATTTAGAAGTTCAGCTAGACAGAGAAATGCTGGGATATTTTTCTATCCAGCTCAAGGAAAAGATTTAATTTGCGCATTACATTGAGAGGGAGGAAAAAGTTAAAAGTAAGCTTGCCCAAACACTAGATTTTCAGCTGTATTATTATTCTGTAAAAATGGTTATGGAATCTTTATCCAGAAAACAAAACCACAAACCCTTAAGATAATGATTTTAAGCTGTACTGCACATAGAACAGCACAGCATGCTGCGTCTGCAGAAATATTAGGCTGCAGGTTCTAGAAATATCTTATCTGCCATGTAATCTTGCAAAGCTTGTAATACCCATATTGCTGTAATAAGCAAAATTATCAAATTTTAATACTAGTCACTAGTCAGCTGTTCCCTGTAGCACGGGATAGCGTGCTTGTCTGCATTCCCTCTGAAACAGATGAGTCAAGAACACTGTGTGCTGTTTCAGAGGACATCAAAATAATCATCAAACCAAAAAGGAAACAGAACAAATAGAAATCACAAAATGATGCCATCCTTCTGATTATTCTTAAAGTTGAAGTCACTTCATTCTTGAAACCACCAAGTGCTCCTGGAATGCTTGCTTGACTGGTTGTAGTAGCTATACTATACTAGTTTGCCAGAATAGCACAGGCACGTGGCTGAATATGACTTTCAATTTTCTAGTTTGATATGCATGCAAACACCTCAGGTTATCAATACCTGAACTAGCAAAACTCCCTTAGCTGGAGATTAGGCTATATCACCCTAATCCTAACCTAGAAAGCTAAGCAAGTGTTGTGACTTTTGAGAGCGTTGAGTACACTTCCTCTGACACCAAAGGTGTCTTCTCTAATCCTGTAAGAAATTATTTAGTCCTCAGGTGAACAAATTGAAAACCAATGGGTTTGTATTCCCAGAGACTTATAGATTTGAACAATTAGCTCAAATACCAAGGTGATGAAAATTTAGGTGTTTGGAGACTGCATAAGAAACACAGAGTAGACTTCCCTCTCCTGTGTCTTTACTGCTCTGGGGAGTTTACTGACCTCCTTCACATCAGATATGGAAAGTGATTTGTGATGACACACAGCTCCAAACAGGTATGTTGTCCACACTCAAACTCTGATCCCCCATTGAACTGGGCAGAGCATGTCCCAGAAATCAGATCTCCTTTTGGGAAGTGATGGAAAGACTAGGAATTTTTCCTCTAAAATGCTTAAAGCTAGAAGGCCAACTCAGTTAATAATGAAATACAACAGTACACTCTAAGACAGCCAGTGAACCATTTCTAAACTCTTTACTGCATGAATCTGAAAACTCACCATTTTGCCTCTGTTACTTTTGCAAAACAGATTTTCTTCTCTTGTTCTTCTCCTTCTTGTATTGAATCATACAGTAAATCTAATTTGGAGTTGTTTGATTTTTCCTATTTCTTTAATATTTAAAACTCATATATTATTATTGTGCTCTCAAGAAAATTTCTAGATCAAAACTTGGTAGTGAATGCTAACTTTCCTGATTTCTGTCATCTCAGGAAACTTCTAACAGACTGTTTATCAACAGGAGGTCCATGTCTTTCCTGTGCTGAAAGCTCCAGAGCTGGACACAGTACTCCAGGTGGGGTCTCACCAGAGCAGAGAAGAGGGGCAGAATCACCTCCCTTGACCTGCTGTCCATGCTTCTTTTGATGCAGCCCAGACTAAAGCTGGCTTTCTGGGCTGCAAGTGCATGTTGTTGGCTCATGTTCAGCTTTTCTTCTACCAGTACCCCCAAGTCCTTCTCAGCAGGGCTACTCTCAATCCTTTCATCCCCCAGCCTGTACTGATACCTGGGGTTGCCCTGACCACTCTGGATGGCATCCTGTCCTTCAGGCATGTCAACTGCACCACCCAGCTTGACGTCATCTTTCTGGTTTAAATTAGACTCACTGTTCCACAGATTTCTAAGTCTTATTTATTTAAACCATGGAAAGAGTTTAAGACTGAACTGAGTCCTCTCTATTTCTCTCCATATTTCCTTCCTATTCTCATTTCCAACTGACACATCCTGCTCAAGAAGAATTGCTTTGGGGACTAAGAAAAGCCTTGGACTTCAGATAAAAACGTTGTTTCTGCACAAATCAGCTTGTGGTTGTACAGGTAGATATTTTCCCCCTCCATGCTCTTGCCACAACGATTGCTCTCCTCAGCATTGGGATTTGACTCCAGGATCCTCTCAGCAAAGTGTACAGACCTTTGAGTGTGACCTAAAGAACAGCCTGGGACTTTGAAACGTGCTTGGGATCCCATCTGTCCTCAGCAGGAATTGGGCAGCTAACTTCTTTAAGCCTTTAAATGTCCCGGTTTACACCTTCCAACTATGCAGCAGTACCGCACTCACTTCACTGGCGGGTAGGTCAGAAAGAGGAAGGGGGGAGTCTAATTTTATAAACAGAGGTGCTTTATAGAAACGGTGCTTACTAATGCTCACTTGTGCTCATTAGTCCAGGTCCAGAGCCGTAAGCACTGTTTTCTAAACTGTTTTATATACAGGAATCCAGCTCAAAGACAAAAGTGTTATTAAAATGAAGATAGAAGGGGTTTGGGCTTCCTTATCTTCCTTTACAATGTAATTTATACATCCGAACAATGTTAGCAGTGTAAATGAACTCAGAGAAAGGACATGACATTTTCAATGTTGCTCTAGGCGATTAGATGGCATTAAAAATTACCTTTCCATATGAACCTTGTCCTAATACTTTCAGCAGCTCAAACTGAGAAGGATCTGCTTTTTCAAAACCTTCCTTCACATGATGACTGATGTCTATTTCCTTCACGATACCGTCTTCCTGCAAAGGAAACAACAAAAAACAAAATCCCCAAATCAGAGCTGTTATCCTAAGGAAACATATTGCTTATTTAAATCTCATCTTCTGTGATGCTACGATCATGTATGAAATTTTGAAAAGAGAAACAAAGGCTTGTCCAAATATTCCACGTGCCTGTTACTGGCTGGGAAGGGTAATGTCAGGACACCCAGGCCTGTTGCTTCTGGTTATTGAGCCTCAAGATGTGACCAGGCAAAGACAGAATATGCCAGCTGAAACACAGAATGACACTCCAGAGCTTGGTGTGCCCATCACAGACCTTGCTAGCAAAGTGGCATGGACTCAAATCTGTACTACAGATGCTTCAGCATACTTCCCTCCACATACTTTCTCATTCTCCCTCAAAGCACCATTTAAATCCATCTTAAAAAAGTCCCTTAGTGTTAAGCAGCAATTCCTGTTATGAGTAGGCAATAAAGAAAAGGCATTGCTGAGAGTGGCTCTCCTTATTTACCTCAAAGAATGGGAAGTTGCTACCAGTAACCTTTTAAATAGAAAAGAAATTAATGATTTAAATGTGAAAATGGGGTGGTGGTGGAAGGAATAATGACACACACGAGCAGGAAATAGCTTTAAACACTTTGGATTTTCCAGGTTCTTTTGTTAAAATATTTCCATTGTGTGTTCTTCAAAGTTACAAAGGACTTTCATCTTGCAAGTTGTGACATGTGGCATTTTGTTTAGTTGTTTGGTTTATGTTATTATGGCATGTTCATCTAAAAAGAGAGTGACTAGGTCATGTGAGACCCACAGGGACTACGTAGAGTTTGCAGTAACCCAGAAAGTCACTGGGCTGAAAAGAAGCCTAGGAGAAAGGATCCGCTCTTCAAGGACACAGTGGTGAGAGAAGATAATATTTACATACCTTTTCATTTCTGTAGTGTTTTGTACACCTAAATTTCAGCTTTTTTTTTTTCCTATTCAATCTACTTGTTCTAACTTCTCTACAACTAAAATATGGGTTTTGAGTACAAAACCTTTTTGTTTCATCTCCCAGGACTAAGGAAATTGCTTACGTAGGAATATGTTTGAATATTTTTGAACCCAACAGAAATAATTGGAATCTCATAAACATTATTTTTAAATGGAATTTTGCTGCAATAGTCCTTTTTAGCCAAGAAAATATCTTATGCAAATCCTAGAAGTATAATATTTGTTTCCCATTCTTAAAAATTAATGTGAGGAAAATAGAAATAACATCCTAAAATATAAATGCATTCACAGAAACATTTGGCCAAACCACATTAATTTACTAAACAAAACCAAATTTGATTCCGTTCTCCTCCAGAAAAATTCCTATCACTTTCTACCAGCTGTAATTGATCTGATGCATGGCTTGCATTACCCGGGTTGCTCTCTATATTGTTGCTCCATCCCTCCTCCTCCCTACCCTGGCTCTTTACACTCATGTGCTTTGGAACAGGGACTGTATCCTCTTCTTGGTTTGGAAAGCTTCCTCTACTCTGTGCATGCTAACAGAATCATGGAAAATAATCATCAGCTGACAGCAACTCGCTTTTTCTGATCTTAATCCCTCTCGTTTAAGGTTTGCCTGAAAGGAAATGCTTGAAACCAACGACCAGTTTTCACAGAGAGATTGAAGGGTTTTCTAAGTTCATAACTGCCAGGCTCTCTCCTGTTGTTTTTCTGGCTTTAATTGCTTTGGGAGACACAGTATCTTTCTGATATTGAAAATATTCATTTTTTTCAATTTTTTTCTAGGTGAGAGAAACAATAGTAAACTGATACAGATTTGATACACTGCATCAGCTGTTTCCTAATGAAACCAGGAATAACCTGCATGCTGTTATCAAAGGCTCCACCACGTTCTGAAGCGATGAGCTTGCATACCGATGGACGGGCATCTTTATGTAAACTGCCTGCAGCTGAGACCTGTACACTGGTAAGAACATTATTTCAAGCTTAGCCTGCCCTGTCATGCTACAGCTTAGGTAAAGTATCTGCACTGCAGGGGTCACAACACATCTTGTTCAGTGGTTCCTCACTAAGGCAAAAAATGATTCCCCATGGAGTCAGGTTCCTGAACCACCCTTTACTCTCTATGCCAGACCTTGCATGCTTGTCAGTTTGCTCTCCACTGAGCAGGGGCAGAGTTTGGGAGGATTGGCTTTTGCAGTGTGTGGATGCCCCCCTGACAATTATCATATGATGAAAAAACTGCAGGACGTTCTCTCGAGTCAGTGCAGCTTGAGGACACCCCGTCATCATTTCATGATTTTGCCAATCTCTGTTCTGCACAAAGCACGGCAAGGACCATCCACTGCAATCAGGTGAAGCAGGAGGTGGATCCAAATTTTGCAGTGAATTTGGGAGACAAAGCTCTGCAAAAAAAGAAACTACCCCCAGTTTCACATACAGCAGATATCTTCCTCAGATTTACTTCTCCTTTGAGCTGGCACATCAATCTCAAAAACTGTAGATGAGATATACCAACTTAAGGGAGCCGCAAACCCCTTTTTAGTGCAGTTAAATTGTATTTCAGCCTGAACCATGGAATCATTTCAGCTACGTTTGCAGGTTTAAATGATGAGTGAATTTCAATTTATCCATTCATACTAGTCATCAAAGTCACAGGCCTACAACCTTAAGCATATTTCTCACTGTATTATTAAATTTAATATAACCTCTTTAGATTCATGAAATGGGTTCAGTTACGGGAATATATTGGAAATATTAAAGTGATGATAATTCAGCTTGCTGGAAGAATGCTTAAAATACTCCAGCATTCCCAGAGAATAGCATAATAAATTCATAACTTGCAATAAAACCAACACTTTAATTACATGCATCTTTAATTAAAATATCAGAAAAGATTATTTAAAAAGAATGGGACTAAATAGGCCTAACTGTTTATCAGAGAAGCACAGATTTTAAAGATGGAAAAAAGCTGTTAGATTTATGTGACTTCACAGAAACATAGAAATGTTGGTTAGAGAGGCTTCTAGGGTCATCTAGTCCAACACTTCTGCCCGAAATATCATCAATACTTGTCCAAGCCAGCTGGTTTTTGTCCATTCTGATTCTCAGTGTCTCAAAGAATGAGGCTTGAGCCACTTCCTGCAAAAGTTTGTTCTCTCTTGATTTGCCCAGCTCAGAAATGCCCACAGTCATGTGAAGCTGCCTGCTCCATGGGTCGTTAGGAGGAAGCAGGATATTTTTCTAGGAAGGTAGGATTTCCTGTGGATTTCCTGTGGTCTCCTCACTAGAAAGGGGCAGCAAAGCAGCACTGAAGAAAAGCATGCCAGACAGATCTTTTTTCACAGATCGTCACTACAGTGGCATTACTTGTGAGCTGTCAAAGAGGTAGACAGTATTTTAGCTGGTCTGACAAACCCACTTCCCACTGCAGCAAACAGCCAAACTGTCACTACTTGAGACTGAAGATGGACACAGCCCCTTCAGGGAAATACAAGCTGATGTGCTTGCACACATGCATCCACTTCCCTTGCATTTATTTCTGAATTCTTATTATTTGTTTTGTTGCATGAATTCTGGAATGAGTTCTGTTTGCTTGCTTTACTTTACTATAAAGCAATAAAAAAAACCCCAACAGTTTTACAATTCTCTTTCTTACTTGGATTTTCTCCTGTCATTTATGTCTCTTGAAGTCTCCCTGTATTTAAATGTGGCATTATTTTACTCAGGTACTGATGATCAGAGTGAAACCCAAACTATCAGAGCACGAGCAATCTCCCAACTATTTTTGCTCTGACTTGCATCTTAGGAACTTCTTGAACATGGATTTTTTCCACTGGTCCAGCAAGTGCAGCATATCTGCATTAGGAATTTTCATAACTACAACAAAACCGAGGCGAGATTCACAACAGAGATGAAGCCCACACACTGAAGAAGCTGTTTTGATGGAGAGGATTTGACTCGGGGAAAAAAACACCAGCCAACTTGCAAAACGGTTTTGATCAGTGAAGTTGGTGGAGGCACAAACGACTGTTCCACAGTTTGGTCTTGAAACAGCTGTGCACAGCAGCCCAGGCTCTTGCTCCCTGCTGACTTGTCCCGACACTGCATTAGCAGGAATGCTTGACTTGATGAAGCTTAATCTTTTGTAAACTTCTCTAAATATTTATGTTTGCACAAAAAGCATCATCCTGTGACAAAAGTGAGATGGATGTTCTTGGCAGCTTGGAGATAGCACGTGGTTGAGCAGCACGGACTAGGGGAGAGAGGGCAATGAACTGGAGTACATGTTGAAAGAGGAATGGAAAGTGCTTTGCTGTGCTAATACAAGACAGACCTATTCAGGGCCTGATTCTACATTGTGTTATTCACTTAAAGGCTTTCCCCCAAGTTGGCAGAAGTTTTGGACACACGAGCAACCCAGTATTTGAATGGAAAGGCCATTTTTGATCTCCTTTCCTTTGGGATACTGGAGAACAGAGCCTCTGTGAATGTGAATGGCACAGACACATCTGGTCTGGTGCTTCCCAGAAGCAGCTGCTCCTTGTAGCACTGATCTCAGCTTACTTCCAAGGTTTTCCTCATGCAGATCTTGAAGAAAGAGATGCACTAATGCTCAGTGGCTGCCAGAGAGCAACCACAGCAAACTCTTCCAACTGCAGCAATACTTCCCAACTCACTGTCACATGTCTGAGCAAGATCGGGAAATGTAGGGGTATAGACATAGGAATAGGGTACAAAAAGTACATGGAAAAGGGTAGGCCTTCCTGGAGAGTAGTTCTTTTCAGGTGTACAGCCTCTTACCCTGCCTGACCCACAGGTTTTCAGCAAACATTATGGAAAGAATACTTCCTAGAGAACTGAGAAGTTTAACCCCTTTTGGAGCCTCGTCTGGCTCCTCCCCAAGAGGTTTCTGAAGGAGCAGACCTAAAATCATACTCAAATCCAGAGACCACTTTAATTATGCCCAATAGATTTCAACACGTGCAAAACCTCTCCTCACCAAGACTTCCTGAAATGGTCTG